AATATCTTATATAGTCTAGACTTTAACAAAAATAACACCTACTTCTCACAAGCTTCTTTTGCATCAGATCATAAAACTTAAAGCCAAACTCATCCTAACTATAATCGAGGAACATGCACTATCTAGTCTTGACATCAAGCTTGGATATTTCATCTTTAGAAATATACATAAAAGCCTTGCATCCAAAAATACATAAATGATCACATGACACATCCTTGCCTAACCAAATTCTATCTGGAACATCCAAATTTTGAGGAATACATGGTGAGAAATTCAAAACATATACAAATATACTCAAAGTCTCATCCCAAAAAGATTTTGATAATTGTGTTGGTGAAAGCAAATATTTCACTTTTTCCATTAATATCTTATTTATCATCATAGTTAGCATATTCAACTAAGGAGTTTAAAAGGTGACATTTGATGTCTAATGCCTTGCTGTCTGCAATACTCATCAAAAGGTCCAATGTACTCACCCTCATTGTTAGTTCTTATATATTTCAATTTCAACTCTGTTTGTTTTTCAACTAAAGCATGACATTGTTTAAATATATCTAACACTTGGTCTTTTGATTTCAAGGTATAAGCCTATATCTTCCTTAAATGATTATCTATAAAAGTCACAAAATAAATGAAACCACTAAGTATTTTTATTTTTATAGGACCACAAACATCATAATATACTAATCAAGCATATCTGGCTTTCTTGGTGGAAGGAATATCTTGAATGCAACTCTGGTTTGTTTTCTTACCAAGCAATAAACATTCTTTTTCAATAATATATTTTTCACTCCAAAAAAAAATTTTTTTTTGCCAAAACCTTTAAACCCTTCTCGTTCATGTGACTAAATCACTTGTGCTAAAATTCAATTATATCATCATTATCTACTACATTGATAATTGAATTAGATACTTTTGCATGCATCAAATACAATGAGAAATGTTTTATACCCCTAGCCACAACCATAAAACCTTTAGTGTGTTTCCATTGACCATTACAAAGGTGCTGCAAACTTTATCATCAAGCTTTTCTGTATAAATCAAATTCATGTGAATATCGAGAATATGTTTAACATTTTTCAAGACCAATGTAGTGCCATTATTGGTCTCTAAAAATACATCTCTCATACTAATTGATTTAGTTGAGTTATCATTACTTATTCTAACACTTTTCAAAATCACCGAGTGTGTAAGATGTAATGTAGTCTTTTTGAGATGTATGAATTATGGCACCATTATTAATCACACAACTAGTCCCATAGCGCACAAGATTAATAACTTTATCATCATATAAAATAAGTCATCTGTGATAGTTGCAACTTTATTAACATCATTACTATCACCATTCTTTTTTTCTTTATCCTTGTCATTATTGTTCTCTCTTTTTAATTTTTGACAGTATTTTACATGCCATTTCAACCCATAATAATGACACTTAACATTAACAAATCTATTGGACTTACTATTGCTTTTATCTCTATTTTTCGAACATTCGTTTTTGCTCATTCTCTATTTTCTATGGCTAACACCTTTAGTTGTGAAGAGGAACACTTCTGGTTGTGAAGAGGAAACCTATAACTTTCTTCTCATATCTTCATTCAAAATATCACTCTTAGCCAAATTCATAGTGATGATAACATTAGGGGCTAAGTTAGATAATGTTGTTCTAAATGTTTCTCACGAGTCCGGTAATGTATCAAGAAGTCATAAACCTTATATTTCATCTTCAAACTTAAGATTCATGGCAGCAAACTAATTAATACTACTTTGATAAGCATTCAAGTGATATGTCATAGGAGTTTCATCCTAATATTTCAAACTCATCAACTATTTAATTAAGAATAGTTTATTATTCCAGTTGTTTAGGCATACGACCTTTCAAACTTGCTCCAAAAATGTGTACATGTGTCTCTCCACTAACATAGTTCAAAATATTATCATCTATCCGTTGTTTAATATAACTGCATACCTATTGATTAAACAAATTATATTCCACATCTATTTTATTTTTAAGCTTTTCAAGTGGTAAATACAGGTAAATAATAATCCTTCACATAAAACAAGTATTCCATCTTCCATTTTCACACATGGTAATTTGAATATGGCACAAATCAAATAGCTTGAGCCTGATACCACTTTGATGAGATAAAATGACCTTAAACAATATTCAAATCAAATATGTCACATAGTGAAAAAATCAAATTATCCTTCTTTGGAGTAATCCTAGTAGAAATCAAACAAATAAAACTGACAAATAAATCTCCAAACCACAAGCACAAGAACACAAGTAATTTTACATGAAAAATCTCCCTAAAATGAGGAGTAAAAATTACGAGAACAATAAAAATCTCTATTATCAAAATAATGAGAATACAAAGTTCTCTCCAGCTAAAACTAGAGGTATACAACCACAATTTCTCAATATTAAATAATCTTGGTAAAAAAATAATCTTGCAAGAGAAAATTAATGAAGTATCACCAAATTTAAGTATTAATAAACATCCACAAAATCAGTAGATAAAAAACTTAAAACTCAATCTCCACTATACAGACTGAAGAACAATGAGTCATGAACAAACTAATAAAATTTAAGCTCATTATCATACCACAGATTAACCTCGATCAAACTACTTGATCGAAACTGCACAAAATCTTTTTTTTCCTATTGTCGCCATACTTCTCTTTTACTTCTTTTTTTTAGCCATATTATGTTATTATATAAGGTTTTAAAACCCTATAACCAAGTATGAAATGATTAAAAAGTCATTGGTGAATGTGCTTTAGTTTTAAGCCACCTCCACATTAAGGAAACCAAGCCCAACACATGAATAAATAATTAAAAAGGAAAAAGAAGATAACAACTTTTTCCTTTTAAATTTAAAATCAACTAATTTATAGCACCGATTCATAGCTATTTTTATTATTGATGTAGCAAATCTTAAAAATACTCTTGATATTAGGTTCTTTTAGTAGGCTGAGTGGATGTTAGAAACTAAAAATAATTAAATGTCAAGAAAGATAACAAAAAAGAAAATGGAGTAGATTCCAAGAAAAAAAAAGTACGGTGGTAAGTGATAGTGAACATATGTGGAGTAAGGTTGAAAAGTGCAAAAGGATAAGGTTGAGAAATAAACAAAAAGGAATAAAGTGTAAAGAAAGTTCGAGAAAGCATGTTAACTTGCTAAAAATCCCTGAATAAATTGTGACAACACTTATTTATACGTATGAAAATAATGGTTATATACATAAGCATTTAATATGTATAATAGTAGAAATTGTCAATTACTAAGTTGTTAATGTTATATCTAATAGAAGCTTAGGTCATGTTTGGTACGTAAGATTATGATAGGATAGAATAAGATGATATTATAAATAGTATTAGATTAAATAATATTATCCTATCTTATGTTTGATGTGTGCAAGGATTATGATATGATAATTTATTTATTAGTTAAAATTATCTTTTCTCAAAGTTTATACAATTTAAATTATTGATGTAATTTTTAAGGATATAATAAAAAATGTAAGTTTAATCCCATTGATTAAAAATAATCCTCTCCACTTTAGGAGGATTGAATTTTCCTATACCAAGAGGATGAAAATCCTTCTTATAATCTTATCCCTTTCAATTAAATATAAACAAAATATAATATAAAATAATTATCATCCTATCGTATCCATCATCCTATGCACTAAACATTACTTTAGATTATTGGTAACAATGAATTGTGAATATAAGAATTTATTATGAGAGTATTTGGTATTAAATGATTTATTTAATAATCACAATAATATGCATTTAGTAATTATTTCACTTTATTTGGTAACAATTTAAAAATCTTACATGACAGGGATATTAAATCACTAGGATAATAAGATCATTGCATTTGAGATGATGAAAAAGTTTTATTACTATGAAAAAATAATTTAAGTAATATTTTTTGACTAATTTACTATCACATAAATATTATTAACATTACCTTAATAAATTGGCCATTAAAAATTAAAAAAAAAAGTTTTTTAATCATTTATTCTAAAAAAATTTTCATGTTATAAATTTGCATTGACTAAAAAAAATAAATTTATTTAATAATTTTTTATAAAATTATTTTTTATCAAAATTAATTTATACTTTGTATTTTTTAATAAAATAATGTTTAACTTTTTTATAAATTATTGATTCAATTATTAAATATTTTACTTTTGATTAGGATTATTTTAGATATTTTGTACTATATTATTTGTTTTTTTATATAATTTCAAATATTATAATTTAAAAGCATTAATGAATTATAATATTATATCAAATATGATAATTTAAGATTATTATGATCAATTACCTTGTGATTTTATTTTCATAAGAATTAATTCATCGTGATGATTTTGAAAATGACATCAAATGCTATTTATGTGTTTAAGTGTTTTAAAATAATAAAAATAACAAAAAAAAGAGATATTTATTTTAAGAAAAAATAAATCATTATTTTAGTCCATTAAATTCATTATTTTAATTCAATGGTATTTTCAAAGGTTCTTTTGGGAAATTTTTAAAAAGAAAATAAAAATCGAAATAATCACTGTTCTTTTCTCAGCTTTCCTTATTTTTCATACCCTCCAGTCTCCCGCCAAATTCCACAACCGGCTATAACCGGTAAACCTTCGTACAACCTCCCAGTTCCTCCGGTTCCCCATATTAAAACATTATCCACGGCCAAAAGAAAAGAACTCTTTTATGATTTTTCCCCAAACTCCCTCTATTCCAATTTGAATATGATTTTCTTTCTAATTCGAAAACCTAAATAAAAAAATCCCAAAGTTTCCTTTTCCTAAGATCACTTCTTTTCGTCGTTGATTTTCTTTTAGCTTCTGCTTCTTCTGGACTCGGTTCGGTTTTTTTTTTTTTTTTTGCTTTAGGGTTTTATTTGGAGTTCGATGAGGGTTCGAGAAGCTAGGTTTTGGATTAATCGGCAAGAAAGTACTGTAATTTTTTTTGACTCGAGACAATGAGTGCCGTCAACATTACAAACGTCGCCGTTTTGGATAATCCAGCATCGTTCTTGACTCCATTTCAGTTCGAGATCTCCTACGAGTGTTTGACTCCTCTTAAAGACGGTGCCTTTTATTGTTTGTCGGTTTTAATGCTTTATTTTGTTAGGGTTTAATTTGTGTTTAAGGCTATAGATTTTGTTTTTGTTTTTGGTTAATGAGAAATGGTGGGAAAAGAAAATGATTTAGGATACTTGAGAATGAGGTTATTAGTTAATTGGGGGTGTAATTGTGAGTTTAGGTTTTTCAATGTTATTGAAGAAAGTTAGGGTTTGGTTTAGGCATAACTTGAACTTTGCTTGCAAGAATGCTTCGGTTTTTGTTTAACTTTTCTTGTTTTTGAAGAAGAAAAGAAAGAAGAAACCTGTCTTAAGTTGTAAAGTAGATTTACTTTTAGTCAGTTACGTTTCGGTTTTTGTATGCTTAATTTAAACAACAAGTTAATGTTTAGGCTGTTTGATTTGCCATATCAGCCTATAAGAATACACTTAAGGACTCAGGCACAAGATTTTAGAATTCTAGGGATGCATATCTGGATATTGGAGACAACCTAAGCAAGAGCCTAGGGAATTGACTAAAGTTGCAGAATGGGTTGCTCATAAACATCATATACAGAAGCATTCTGAAGTTTCTAGAATAAAGAAATGGGGGAAGGCCTATTGTATGTGTAGAAGAGCAGCCTTTCAGCTAAGAGACCTGCTATTGTATGCTCTAGCCAGGAATAGTTTAATGCATGTTGCTTGGACTTGGAAGTTGAATTTTGGACAAGGATATGTGTCTAACATGGTTTCGTTCTAGTTTTTCCAAGTCTTTTGTTACATTTGGAGGGTTTGAATTCCAAACACATCCACTTTGAGGGTTGGTATGTGTTTCAATGGGTACTTCAGGAAAATGAAGATTCATAAAATTGGCCTTAAGGTGAACCCTTTTGAGCCTACTACAATTCATTTATGGTTTCTGGGATTTATTAATTTCTTCCCAATTCATAATATGTCAGTGCAGGAAGATGGTTGGCCCTATTGCTGGTGAGAGATATATGGAGTTCGTATTTAATTGTTGCTCCTACTCCGAAAGGAATAGAGGGATCTGTCTTTTGAGAATCAAATCGGTTTAATTTTCCCGGATATGTTATGGCAGAAAGTCATGTCGTGTATGAATACATTACAATGTTATATTAACTTTCTTTCTGAGTTCTTTTTTAGGAGTCTTCTGACACTTACTGAACTAATGGAGATGTTAGTTTGAGACTTTCATTGTTCACTTATCTTCTGTTTCAAGAGAAGCAAGATTGTGGCAGTTTCACTGTTATCTCCGTTGTTTAGCCACTAAACATTTGCTGTCTCGTATATGCTTTGACTCATTATTATAATGTAGACCCACATCATCAACCTTGATTGCTAAAATATAAAAGATTATTGCAAGTTTATCTGCACTAGATCACTCATGTTGTTTCTCACGGCCTGGCAGTTTTTCCCTCATTGTTTTTAAGTCTAGAAAGAATACTGTTTATGACACTTTTTTTGGGGTTGGGGGTCGTAAGCATAAAGAGTTTTTGTTCTCTTCACATCTTTTTGTGACAAAATATAATGACTAAATATCCATCTCTGACTACTGAGCTGAGTTTTGCTAACCTTTTGTTTTCTTCACATCTTTTTTCGAGGTTAAAATGTATTTTCATGTTTTAATGGCTGCAGATTTAGAATGGAAACTTATCTATGTGGGATCTGCGGAAGATGAGACTTATGATCAACTACTGGAAAGTGTTCTTGTTGGACCTGTTAATGTTGGAAATTACCGATTTGTATTACAGGCAATTTCTGCTGACTACTAATTTTTAGTTGTTTATGATTTATGGATTTGATGTATCTGTTTTAGCTTCTTACCGTTGTCCTTGAATATGTTGCAGGCGGACCCACCGGACCCATCAAGGATTCGTGAAGAGGACATTATAGGTGTGACGGTGCTTCTCTTGACTTGTTCGTATCTTGGCCAAGAATTTGTGCGAGTGGGTTACTATGTTAACAACGATTATGATGATGAGCAGCTCAGAGAGGAACCTCCCCCCAAGGTCTTGATTGAGAAAGTCCAAAGAAATATTCTATCTGATAAACCCAGGGTGACAAAGTTCCCCATAAATTTCCACCCTGAGAGTGGTGGAAATGAAGAACCCCCTCCAGCTGATAACCCTGTTGAAAATGACGGAAATGAGGAACTTCCTGCTTCACCAAATCAAAAAGAGGAGGAACCTTAAATTTTCAACTTGCAGACATTGCTGGTACTTAAGATAGATGGCCTGGTAATTCTTCTGGGGATTAAACTCCATATCTGAACCACATTTTGACAATTGGATGAAGATGCTTAAGGAAATAATAGTTCAGAAATGCTGGATTGTTTTTGGCTGTTTTTGTATGTTCAGAATAACTGTTTCACTCAGATGATTTGCCTCAGGCACTACTTCTGAAGGAATTTTAGTTTCATTTTCTTTGGGCTTTACCATCTTAAACATTGCCTTTTCTCCCTTGCTGTTACAGGCATTGTGGTTTTTTTTGGTACAGATTGTTGCCAGTATCAACCTGAAAATATGGCAATAAAAATGGATTTCATCTGATTTCATGATCTATTATTTTACTTTCTCCCACTATATTTTTTCATCCCAAGTGGAAAGTACATTTGACTGATGATTTAATTTTTTATTTACTATTAACTTTCCGAAAACCAAAATGCAATTAGTAAATTACAAATCATAACATTTACAGTAAAATATATCTTAAATGCAATTTTACACTACAGATGCATCTGAAAAATTCGGACTGATTTTTATTTTAATTATTAACTACTGGGGGTGTCTTTGGATTACAGCCACTTAGGGTGCAGCTGCTATAAGAGGCTGTGTCAGCCGCAACTTTTGAATCCAAATGACGACCAATCCATAAACTTTTTTATTTTAATCCCTTGAATTATATTATTGTACAGAAAACATACCTAACAAATTATTTTTTCTTCTTTTTATTTTATTTTTTATATTAAAATTGTGAAATAGTTTTGTTAATTTAATATAATAAATAAATTTCATTACATAATACATTACTAAAATAATTTAAATAAATTTTATTATTTATTAACAAATTTTATATAATAAATAAAATTTATAAATATTAAATAATTTAAAATTTTTATTATATATAATTTTTAATATAATGTCGTGATTTTTTTTTATTATAATTTATCTTTTTATCATCATTATTTTTAATCCAAACACATATCTCTCAATAATTTTAATCTCATCACTAAAATAATCAATCTTACATTTACCATTGTTTTCAATTTGATAAAAATTAATCTTACCGTTCATGTGAACAAATCCTAAGTATATGTTTTCAAAATTCATGAATAGTGCAGGAAATGCAAACAGCAATCAGAACCAAAATGCCAATCTCCTTAAATAACTGTGATGAGCTCAGTAAGTCTTAAAAACAATCCCAAACGAAGATGAATGAAATTGAAAGAGAACTGTGATGCCAATATTTAAAAAAAAAAAAAAACATATGGAAAATCTAAAACTTAAAAGGATTTAATGAGGTTAAATTGCATATCACTGTTCCACAAAACTCAAGGCAAACACTTTGTTACATTGCTCGCTGATTTATTCTTTTTAACAGCGTTCATTTCTAATTCTTACGCCCCCTTTTGGCTCCATTTTTAGTAGACTGCTTTTCTTCCCTTGTTATCTGCGGTTCATGTTAGGGAATTAGTATAGGCTTTAACTTAAACTAAAGAAATGCATGAAAACTTAAATTTCTGTTACCTTCCTTTTTGAACCCTTCCCTGATCGATGACGTCCTCCTTTATGTTTCTTTTTCGGTTTATCCTAGTACAGGACAATAGAGTGGAACTTAATTTCCTACATGGATATTCAATCTTCAATCTACAAAAAACTTCAAATTTCAGACCAACCAACCTGTGCAACAGCATCAATTGGGGCATGTGTTTCTGCAGCAGTCTCTTGATTCTCAATTTCCCCATCACTTTTGAGCACAGTCTTCAGTCTACCTTCCTTGAATAATTTCTCTGATCGAGCATGCCTCTACAATGGTAAGGGAAGTTTTGTTAGATCAACATCAGAGACCCTATATAAAACCAAACTCGCAAACTCGTATTCCTTTTATCCTGATCAATTGGCAAGCATTACATAAAAATTATGCCTGTAACCATCAATTGACATGTAGGCACCACATATAAATGGCGAAAGTGTGAAGTGCCAAATATAATATCTTATCATTTCCTCAATTAAAAGGTTGACAATTACCATATTGAAATTTTTTACAAGTCTAAATGTTTTCAGGATTGGATTGAAGATTGGCATATGGTTTCTCAATTGTTGATGCAGTTATTGAGTATGATGTTATAAAAGAGAAAACAAGTCAGCTGTCTTACCTTGGATTTAAAGTGAGCCCTTACAGTCTCCTCATTCAAACAGACAATTCTCGGGCATAACTTGCACTTAAAAACCGATTTACATTTCAGTATACAGGCAGGGAAATCATCTGGCAATGATTCTTCTTTGGTTGGGGTGTGTGATTTTGTCTCCGGCACTTGAGCACCATGATTACTAGGTAACTTATTGTTGACAAATATTTGTCTATCATCTTCACTTTCATCATTATCATCATCTATAAAACCTGACATGCCACATCATGTTAACCACAAAAAAGGGGGCATGTTTCTGGAATCAACACAAAAAAATGCATGTCAAACTTACATACTGTCTAAATGATAATCATGACATGTAAATGCTAATAATATAATGACTAAGCATATGAGATAACTTAACTACCGTTCCTACTTATAAATACCTTAAATATAACAGAGAAAGATAAATCAATTTGGAATTACATAAAAATGTTAAAGCCTAAGAAGCTTGTTTTATGAAGGATGAGATTGTTATGCATTCCCTTCCCAAGTACACCAGAAACAGGACAAGTTTTACAAATGGACTAGACATGAAAATCACAACAGGTTTTTTTTTTTTTTTTTTTTTTTTTTTTTTTTTTTTAACAATATACATGCAAAACTCTCATCAGGTTTGACTGATAAGAGTTTTGCATGTATATTGTAAAAAAAAAAAAATTATGACCTAACATAATTCCTTTTTTTGGCCTTTCATTCAGTTGACCCCCTGAATTATGTGATATGTGATATAAAGCTTAGTTTCTTCTTGTTGTATACATGCAAAACTCATAAATCCATCTTTCTTTTCATGTAAATTACTACATTATTAACTTTCTCAATTCAATTTATGTAAATCTCAACATCTGCAACTTATTCCCCTGTGCGCAAACTACAGTTTCCTTTTGTATGTAAAAAAAAAAATATACCTGTTGAGTCAACACCAACTTCATTTGCAGAACTATCCTCACTCTCATATCCTGAAAGCAAACAATCATATGATATGTAAATCAGTAACATTAGGAGTAAAAAATAACTGTAAAAAAAAAAAACAACCTTTAGTCAAACTTAAGTAACTAACCTGAAGATGTGGAGCAAGTCTGATCATTTTGTTTTACTTGAGCAACAACTTCTTCTGATTCTGATTCTGATTCTTCTGCGGCTTCCAATTCAAGTTCGGAGTCCGAAGACGATGAAGATGAATCTGACACATTATCTTTATCCCCGTGTTCAAACTTATAGAACCGTCTCTTTATCATTTTACACTGAAAGTTTTTGAAACCATCAGAAGAATCAAATAAAGGGTTATCAATTTACACTGAAAGTGTTTGAAATCACTCAATTATATGGAAAAATAAAGAAGATTTTAAAACTAAGGGAGTGTCAAAATCTTCTCAATTCAAATGAATGAGAATGCTTACGAAGAGTTCGTGATGGCCTGTCGCAGAGGAGAGGTAAAGCGTGAGCTAGAGCCAGAGCCAGAGACAAAGCCAGAGACGGAGAGAGAACGTGGTAGGGTTTTAGGTCGAGGTATCACAAAAGAAGAAACAGTCAAACAGGAAACGTGAACTTTGGGTTGGGCCTTAGATCTTCCTTCCATCCTTTAATCTTTAATAACCAATGGGCCATGAAAAACAGATTTTTATGTCTCTCTATTTGTTTAATATAGAATAATCTAAATCAGTGACATATAATTTTCGTATTAAATATGTTATATATATATAAATTTTAATATTTTGTATAACATATCATCAGGTTTAAACTTAGACATAAAGGTTAAAAAAAATTCTTAAATAAAAACTTAATAATCATTTAAGTTGTTGATATTTTATTGTCATTAATTAAGTTATGATTCTTTTATTTTAAATCAATTAAATTTTTAAATATTTATTTTCATTCAATTAAATCTTTATAAATTTATTTTTATTTAATTAGGCTTTCAATTGGATAAAAATAGTTAACCATTTTTCCTCTAAAAATATTCTAATTGATTAAAATAAATATTTGAAAATTTAATTGATTGTAAAAAAAAATAAGAATTTGAATGATTATTAAATTTTAATTTAATGACTTTTTTAATCTATTTACCTTTAATTTAGTATTAAATTTAGTTGAAAGGGCATTATGCGCTTAAGTTCTATGGAATTCACAACTTCGTCATAAAGTATTTGGCTCACATTGTCAGATTCAATGAGAGTTTCAGGGAGTTGAATGGCGTTGTGGCTGGAAGGATTATTACTGACGAAATCAAGTTTAGTGAAGCTAACTTTGTCCTCTTTGCTTTTGTCGTTGTTCTTCTTGTAGTGCTAGCTCAGGTGACAAAATGGTGGGAAGCTCTGTGGCTAATGATTGGTATTTTTTTTGTGGAGACTAAGAATTTTGGAAGAGTTAGAACTCGAGGAGAGAGTAGAAAAGTAGATTGGAAAAAATAAAAGAAAAAAAAGAAGAGAAAGGTAGAAAGGAGATCTAGCCAAAGTTCGACGATGGCTAGAGTGGATGCAAAAAATTAGTCCTAATTTGATAGTCGGTGACTAGATTGAGTGCAAGTAACCTAATCGTTACGGGTTCTTGCTGGGATTCAAAATACAATCTGAATGCATTGGGTTTTAATATGATTTGATTTTATAAAATTATTTTTTTTTTTATTTTTGAAAATCAAATTTCGAGGTTTTTTTTTTTAAGTCAGAGTTAAGTTAAGTTTTAAATAAATTCGTTTTTAAAAAATAATATTTTATATTAAAATTTTTTTATTAATTTCGAATCGGATCAAATTAATTATAATTTTATACATATGTAAATCGAGTCAAATTAGGTATAAAAATAATATTTGAATATTAAATTGTGTCAAGTTTGAATATTTATTATATACAGTCGATTTGAGATCAAGATAAATAAAAAACTCGTTTTAATCTAACCTGTTATTATCTCTAGTTCTTGCATCGATTAATAAATTAGAGAAGAAAGGTGAACAGATTTTTTTAATATTATTTTCGAAATTCCTTTTAACTTGATGTAATTTAGTTTGCGCATTTTTTAGCTTTCAAAGAGTATTACTCAAAGATTGGATGCTTAAATATTGTCATTGAGTGGTTGATTTGATCTTTTTATCTGGGCTGATTAGAAGTGCACGTGTTTAGTTATCAAGAAAATGAGGGAAAGGGCTATTTAAAATTTTTTTAATGTATTTTTAACCCACTCAAGCTAATTTTTATGTTTTACCATGTAATTATAGAATTGAATTTATAATAAGGTTTCTCTGATAGTTGAACTGAAACGATAAAGATTAAATAAGATTTACGTACGATAAGATACGGTAAATGAGCGAGTTTTATTTTTAGATGCTGCATATTTAAGATTTAAGTTACTTCTATTTATATTTTTTTGAATATTAAAGTTTTTTTTTGAATTTGAATCGTTTTGGTTTTTTTTTTTTTTTTTTTTTTGGGGGGGGGGGGGGCGGATTTTAAGTTTGATTGTATTGATTCCAATTTTTTTTTGTGTTTGGATTTTTTACTTTTTTAATCAATTTAAATGTACCTTAACAACAAAGAAAGAGATACACTAATTTTATTGCTTGAACTAACCGTTCATTGGTAACAAGTAACCTTTGTTACCTACACCAAATAACATCCTTATTTCCCTCACCATGTTCATCAGGTGAATGGGATGCCTCGGGAATGATAAATCAGATTAATTCAGATGTGGCAGCCTGTCTTTGGTTGGCAATTTGGTAGAGGAAGAAACGGTTTGAACAACGTAGCATGTTGCATTGTTAGACGAGAGGATAATAATTAAATCACAAATATAATATGTTAATTGATCTTATAACTCATTAAGCATCACCAATCCTTTCTCAACTGTCATTTACTACAACTAAATCACAAAGTGGGATTTTTACAAGGATAGAAGGATAACAACTTAAATAATCCATCTCAATTTTATAATACTAAATACATATTAATAAGGATGAAAAATCAATCCGAAACCATTAAATTTCGACTCGATTCAATATTATAAGATCAAATATTTTTAAAATCGAATTTCAAATTGAATTGGATTAATTTTATTTTCAAAAAACTTGAAATTAATTCGGAGATAATTTTATACGAAATTTATATCACTCAATATATTTACTAAGTTACCTTTGTTATATATATATGCATTAATACTTTATTAAATCACAAGTGCTTTCTTAAAAGGATAATAACTTAAATAATCCATCTCAATTTTATACTACCGAATGCGTATTAGTACTTTATTATAGCTTTATTCATGTAATGCGCATAGAGTAAGAGATCAATCAAGCAAGAAAAGAAAAAGTTTTTATCCAATCTTTTCTATCACACTTGTCATTCATTACATCACATGCGTTGTACGTGATATAGCATTATAAGTATCTTGTTTTTGTTAAATAATTTATTCTAGTAATGAAAAGGACTATGGAAACAATTTTCACACTGTGGACCTTAATTATTCAAAAAAATTTTCAAGAGACGCAAGCAATCTTAAGCCCCTGCGAGCAAACAGCCAATAATTACAAAAAAAAAAAAAACGATAAAAGATAACATAACAAGAAAAAAATATTTTTTTAGCATGTTATGGACCCTAGTTCTTAGATGATAATTAATTAGTAAAGATGATATTTATTTTATAAATTAATTTAATCCTATCAAAATAAAGATTTTTCAAGGTGTTATAAGATCACATAATTTCATCTTATTACTAAGGGTGTAAATGAATAAAATTTTTGATGAACTATTCGTGAACATATTTGATTTTTATTCGTTTATATTTATTTATTAAAATTAACAAATGATCTTAAATAGTAATTTTGTATTTATTTATTTAACGAATCGAATACGAACAAAAATATGTTAGGTTTGTTTGTATTCATGAACAAGTTCATTTAAGATTTATTTAAAATTGTTTTGTTTACGATTCATTTATGTTTATTTAGGGTTCGTTTATTGTGAATTTTATAATTATATATTTATTTGTTTAAATTTATTTGATTATAATTTATTTATTATCAATGAACTTATTTGTTTATTGTTTGTAGATATGTTCATTTATGTATATATGTATATATTCGTTTAATATTCAGAAACTAGTTTGTTTAATTTAAACGAGCTTAACATAAATCAAACGTGAATATCTTATTATTTTAAACAAACCTAACTTAAACATAATGAATAATTTTCTTATCAAACATAAATGATTTTAAAAATAAATGAACAGATCACGAATATATATTCATTCATTTATTCATATTCAATTTATTTAAACCCCTACTTATCACACCCTTGTAGATAAGTAATTCCACATATTTGTTTCACTACCTTAAATCCGTTTGACAAATAATACTACTAATTTGTTCGGATAAATATATAGCTTTCAAATAGAATCCCTACACTAATTAATATTAATTAATGAACAAACAAAAAATATGCAAAGCAAAACAAACCTCAATACAAGACAGAACCGATCAAAAACTTGAAAGCAATAATGCGCGCAAGACAAAAATAATTACAAAATAAATAGAGAAATTAGTAAACACTTTACATTTGAACAAACTGTAATATTTTCTTGGTTGATAACACTATGAATTAAACTAACAATGCTATAAATGAAATAAAATTAAAAAAAAAAAGAAATTCATCATTATCATTAAAAATACATATATAATCCGCATAAGAAGAAATTATAACGTAAAATATGCTCATAATACAAGCAATGTTTCACAATTTCTAGTATAAAATTTTGTTGGATTTAAACTTCTAAGAATCATAAAAATTGTAAGAACTATTTGTAATAGTTCTTATATTAATCATATAAAATTTTGTTAGATCCAAATTTTTGAGAATCATAAATGGTGTAAATTATATTGTAATTTGTTAGATTGAAACTTCTCAGTTTTATATTGATATATAAATTTAATTATTAATTTTATTCTAATGAATATATTCATCAATAACTATGGTAAATAATATAAAAATATTCTAAAATAAAATCCTGAAACTTAGCTAAAATTAAGTGGAAATGATTGCTATAGTATTGGTGATTTGATAAAGTTGATTAGACCAACCTAAAGATTGATGTCAATTTTATTTGTTGTTGGTGGAATAATATCTTTTCTAGGCCTCGCTCTAATCACATTATGCTGCTTATATGGAAATTTACTGTGGTTTTAGTTATGCCTATTATTTAAAGAGCGTAAAAATGTATTTAATGAGCATTTTAACCTTAAAATTTAAAGAGCATCTATGATTCTGTTATTATTATTATTTATTTATATATATAGTTATGTGAATTTTTAAATTTTGATCTTGACTTTAAGGATGAAGTAAAATAATTTAACAAGATTGATTTGTAATTATTTTATTTATATCACCATGTTTTTCAATTTTTATTTTTTTAAAATCTTTTAGTATTTTATTTAAAGTTAACATTTTGTTATTATTTATTTATTTATAGATTTAACTAAAATTGCATTGAACCCTATAATAGATCAATAATATGTATTGATCATTTGAGGTATTATGCATAAGCTTGTGCAACTTTAATTTTTTGTATTT